AGAGCTTAGAGAGACTGGAACAGAGACAAATGTTCCGCTGGCACCGGATGGTCCTCCCCTGCGCATTCTTCATTTCCTGGCAGAAGCATCCACGGAGAAATCAATTGCTGCCACTTGGGAGTGGAAGATTCTTGCTTCTCGCTGCAGAGCTGAGCCTTGCTCCCCCGGCAGCTGCCGCAGCCACAGGTGGAAGCTGAGAGCCCAGAGTGGGAAAGATGAACAGACACCCAGCCACCTCAGGCACCAGCCAAGCGGTGGCTCTGCCTGTCAGCCCCGCTAATGGGATGACTGGCTGCTATTGACATGGCTTCTTCTCTCCCAAGGCAAATAAAGCTGAGCCCCTGTGCAAGAGGCGATTGCAGGGGAAGAGACGCATTGCAAGATCCTGTGAGCTCTCCACAGTTCATTTTCCCCCCTAAATCCTTTCATTGATTATATTGTTTTTAAAAAGAAAGAGAGCGAAAACAAGGTCTGCACTGTAGCCACGCTGTGCCTGCCTGCTATGATCCCCCCCACACACACCCCGACTTTCCTAGCTAGTTTTTAGTCAATAGAAAAGAGCCTTTCCCAAGCTGCGCTCAGCCTGCACAAGGCCTGCCAAGCACTCCTCCCAAAGTCCCACCACACCAAGATTTCTGTGCTTCAGGCCAGCCTGCTTCCACGCGAGCACAGCAGGCTTCCTCTTCCGAACAAAATGGGGCTGATGGCACAGGTACCTTTAAGTCTCCCCTCCTCCCCTGCCTGGGATCCTCTCTGCCTCCTTCACGTCCTTTTTAATGATAAATATAAAAACCACAGTTAGGAATGACTAAAATACCTCGAAAGAGAAACGATAATGGCTTGCTCTTGCAATGAAAACGAATGCCCAGCCTCTCTGGTTCTCCTGGCCTCTGGTTCTCCAGACACGCAGAGGCTGGGTAAGGCCTAGAGATGAGATGGCGGTGCCAGGTGGGTGTTGGAGGTCAAAGGCAGGTCGAGGGAGGTCAAGCTAAGATGCTATTTCACCAAATGTGTCTCCACTCTGGCCAGTGCTAGCCAAGAAGGAGAGCTGGGGACTTAACAGGTGGGTTTAGCAGCCACAGAGACGCCCTAGGATGACTGCAAAGGAGAAGCGCACACAGGAAGAAGGGGAAGGGCAAATCCGGCTCACTGCTGGGACCCACCCACACACTGGCCAAGTTTCCTGCCAAAGGGAGCTACTGTACATTCTTCCAGATTACACGATTCAGAGACGCTTTCCATGGCAGGGGCAGAATTTTACTCAACTTTACCCACGAAAGGCAGGGAATTAACCTCACTACCCACGTCTGAAAAGGCCCATGGCAACAGTGCCCACCGTGGTCCTGCTTGACGAAAGTCTGTTCCATCACCTCTGAAAACCATGGAGGGGAAAGGGGAGCAGTTGAGCCTGTACAAGGAGGGACACGAGGAGAGGGAAGAGGCGGTAGCTGGTTCAAGTAAGCGAGAAGGAACATAAGGTCCCTTTCCTGGTACATCGAATGACGTCATCTTCTTTCTATAGCTTTCAGTAGAGGGGGAAAACCACGGAGACAGACAGGCCCTGGGTGGGTGTGAAAAACAAGGAGTTTATGGAGTGTGGTGGGGACCCAGGAAGAGAAGACAGGCAGAGCATGTTGGCTTCGGCAGGTGGTGCCTCCAGACCCCCCAGAGAGTACCGAGAGAGGGAGAAAGATGGTAGAGCTCAGAGTGCCAGGGTCCCCACATCTGGGACTAAGTTCTCAGAAGGTACACCGGTGTTGAAGCAGAGAAAAGACAAAATGATGGGGATGCCAGCCAGCGTCCTGACCTTCCTGGTGAGACGGAGACACTGGGAAGGTACTTGGCTCTAAAGACTGTGCATCTTTGGGAGAGGGGAATCTTGAGTGAGGAGAGTAAAGAATAGATTGAGACACGCCTGTTTCCTGAGACAAGAGCAAGACTGGCCACTATCGTTGGAGGTGATCGGAGACCCCCTTAAAAATCACCCACAGTCCACAGTTCGCGGTCTAGACAAAGGGACAACAGCACACACCACAATTTCCTTCCCAACATCAGGCCTTTGAGGTGACATGTGGGACGTGTTGCCAAGGCGTTCATTTGGTAGGGCAGAGCTTGGGGTCCCTCTGCGGGCTGAGGCAGCTCACTGGCTTTTCCTTGAGTGCCAGCATCCAGGAATCCCTGGACTATGGGATAGATTCCCTCTCTTTTGCCCTCCAGTCAGCTCCAAAGAAGGTGTGGGCTGGTTCTTCGGTGTCTATTTAATCTAGCCCGGGGGTGGGGAGGAGTTTGCGATCCGAAAGCTGAAACCTCTATAACCACTAGCTTTGTTAGAGGATGATCCCTGCGTGCAATGATTCACATTCATGGCTCCTCTTTCACACCTCAGAATTGCTGCTGAGCCATCCAAGCTAAGGATGAATTAGAAGGGTTCTCAAGCTGGTGAAGACCCGTGCTCAGAACTTTTATTAAAAAAAAAAAAAAAATCTCCTCCCATTCTGTACAGAAATCTGCACAGGAGCCAGGCCTGAAAGGAGCCTCTGATGTGATTGTTCTTATTAGAAATGTGGTTCAAACTTGCATCCCAAGTAGCCTCCAAGGGCTTTCGGCTCTGTCTTTCCAGGATGCCTGCATAGCGTCTTCGCAGCGTTTATCCTGGGTTAAAGCCATAAAATCCTCCACACCCTGTGTTTACCCTTATCACCCCTCCCACCAAGATTATTTTGAGAAGAAAATCAGCAAGCAGTTCTTAAGGATGCCACTCGCCGCTCTCATATTCTGTGCATTTTGAGTTACCCCAACCAGTGGTGTGGGCAGAGGTTCCCCTGAAGTTCCACCACATCCATCAGCCTCACGGCTCCTGGAGGAACAAGGGCACACAGTTTCTCCTTAGGGCTCTTCCAGCGTCTGAGGGCTCAGCTCCCACTGCCTTGGTCAGGAGCCCTCTGTATAAAGTCCCATAGATCCAGTTATCGCCTGTACAGACGGGAGGGGAATTAACTCCAGCTGCTCCCATCTGACTCTTTCTTCACCTCCAAAGATCTCTTCCCCTCCACTTCCGCTCTCTCTTACTTTCTGGAATCTTCCAGCTGCCTTCCTCTAGAGTTGACAGAGCTGTAGTTGAGGGGAGCTGGTCAGCGGGGGCTCTGGGACCTCCCTGGGACAGAGGAGCCCCTGCTTGAGGGTGTGGATCATTCTAGAGGGAAGACGATACTGCGTTCTCCCTTCACGCTGCCTCGCTCTCCACACAGGCTCGCTTATACTAACCCAACAGTGGCTTTGCCTATTCAAAACCACCCGCTCTCTTGTCTTTGCTCTGGATGACGACCATGCCAGATTTTCTCCATCTCTCATGCCTTAGAAGAAAAACTGGCTTGTTCATCTTTTCATGCCTCTGAGTATTTAATGGTCAAAGAGGCCCACAGTGTAAGAAAAGGAAGCACACTAGTTACTGTCTCACTGCTGTGACCAAATACTTGAGGGCTTGCTGGGTCTCTTTGTTCCTCTTCCCAATGTGATCACATTAAATAAATCTCTCTTTCTGCTTTCTGTTACGAACTTGGTTCTTTTTTATTGGCTTATGGAGGGCAGATGGTGGGGCCTGACTTGGGAAACAGGTTGTAACCCCCACGTTCAGTAACACTGCTTAATAATCAAATTTGGAAAATCTGGGACTCTGGATGGGAACCTCACTTTCACCAAAAACTCAAGCAAGCTAAGACCAGAACCATTGCTGTATAACAGATCAGTTAACCAAATGAGCAGCATTTGCCAGGAGACACTGGTAGGTCAACATCTAGTAAGGTGATGAATGATGTGCACCTTTACACACACCACACACACACACACACACACACACACACACACACACACACACACACCCCACTCACACTCATCCATAGTGCAGATTTTCTTAGAGTCCATCAGGAAGCTGGAAGGAAACTCATAGCGTATACACCCACTCCTGGATGAGGAGCTGAGGTTGAGGACTCCACACCCCCTCCTGGATGAGGAGCCGAGGTTGAGGACCCCACCTGGTGTAAAGCGGCTGGACAGCAGCATGGGAATGAGGGGGATGGCGGAGCCCCGGTGTGCTTGTCCACGCCCTTCACTTTCCTTTTGTGTGCCCCGGTTCCGGTTCGAGCATCCACCTGGGAATTCCCTTGTCTCTACCCACCTCCCCCTTTCCTTCCCACAAGTCAGAGCAACTATCCGGGCTGTTCTCTTGCAAGCAAGCTGATCAGAGCCCATAGGAAGCCGCAGCCCCGGGACCTTCCTTCTCCTGTTTCTACGGAGTTCCTGAGATGATATTTAGATTGTTTGCAGCTTAGGTGTTTGTACCACACATGCAGCATTCTGCAGCTTCCCTTCTGTAAAACTATTGATTCTTTGGGCAGCTGACAGGCAGCTTTGATGTGGGGATCTGTTGTGGTTTCTACAGGAAGGAGATATTGGTGGGAGGATTTACAGCTGTTTGAAGAATTCTACTTCTCTGGCAATCGTTAGGGAGGCGACTGCTGAGCCATTTCCCTGGCTGGAGGCAGCTTCCCTGAACTCTGTCTTTCCCTGAGAAGGAGGGAGAGGAAACTGAAGTGCTTCCAAATAAAGATCTGAGTAATGAGATTGGATCTGAAGGGATTTGTTATTAAACACTAAGAATTTCCAGATGCGGTCCCCAGCACCAGCACATTTTGCTCCTTCCAGGCAGAGGGGCTTCTCTGGTATAGAAGGGAGGCAGGAAGGACACGGGGGTGTTTATTGTCCCCGTCCCCTACTCATTTCCCCTTTACATTTTTCTGCCATTTGAGAGTTCCCCCGGTTCTGTTTACAGCAACTTCCAGCAAGTGAACAGTGCCTTCTGGGGACCTCAACTCCATTCTGTCGCTCTGCAGCACTACAGTCAAGATTTTAATGCGTGGCACTGTGTTTTAATAGACTATTAAACGACAGCACCACACATTAGCCGGCTACGGCACAACCGCAGACGTAGCAAAGATGTGGTCTCAGGAAAGCACTATTTACTTTAATGAGAAGGGGCTGTGATCGACCGAGCATCCCTGCAAAGCAAGTCAAGAGGACGGTAGTGAGGGGAGAGGACAGCCAGCCAGCCTTGATCTCAGAGAAGCAAACTCTCTTCTCAGTCACCCTCCACCCTCTTCCTTCAGCACAGCAAGCAGGGAAAACCTGGCCCTGACAGCCTGTGTCAGTGGCATGGCTGAAAGACCTTTGCCAACCCATGAATTTCAAGGTCACTTGGCACTCCAGGCCCTTTCCCACTGGTCTCGAGGTTGGAGGGCTCTGAGACATGTGGTCGTTTGTCTTAGTATGTATGTGGGGTGAGAAGGAGACAGGCCTTGGAGCTGTTGTTTTCATGGTGGTTCTTTCTGTCTCAGCCACAAATAAGACAGGGATTTCAGACTCTTTTCTCTTCCACCATTTCAGAGAAGGCTAGAACGAACCTGTTTTTAAGAGAAAAGTACAGGGATTCTCACAGGCTGTGATATCAGAAAGCGACCCCATCCAGTCATCGTGCTAAAACTCCAGGCAGGTTGATTTCCACCTACACTATTCTGCAGCAGAAAAAAAAAAAAAATCTCTCTGAGAAACGAGCCTTCCAAGCCTCACTCATAGGCGAGCTGTGGGAAGCATTTTCCTAAAAAAAAATCTACCCTGACTCACGGGCTTTTTCCGAGGGTTCCTCCCCATTCCACAGCAACATTAAAAAACCCAGTTGCGAATGTGAGAAAGAGAATTGCTCCCCGAGTCACACTCTATATGCAAACCCAGGCCCGCAGGAAGAGATGGGAAGGCAGGGGAAATAACCCCCAAATCAGAGCACAACAAGATCTCCCCAACTGCTGCAACAGCCTGCTCATTCAGCCTTGCAAGTAATCGCGTTTTTACTCACCCAGTGACATTTTATTCTAGGTGAGCAGACAGGAATGTTAATTCCATTCACGCTCTTTTCCAGGGATTGGATTGAGAGAAGGGATACCCTTTCTCTTCTTTTAAATGAAAGCCTGGTGAGGAGGGCAGGCAGGCAGGCCAGGTTGGCGGGTGGGGTTTGAAATGGAGCTGGGTAAGGATCTTGCCCTCTGCTATGGTGGAGCCTAGAGTCTCCCTTGCACCATTCTGGTCTTCTAGGGGCCTGGGAGCGGAGCTACAATATGGCAACTTAAAAAAGGGGGTGGTGGTGGTGGGGTTGTTGTTGTTGTTGTTTGGTTATTTCTTTTAAAGGTTTGAGTACTCAGAGCTGGGGATGTAGCTCAATGACTGGGCACACTTTCGTAGAATGAACAAGGCCTTGGGTTCAATTCTCACTATTGCTTTAAAAAAACACATCTCTAAACCCTTTCAAAACATATTCTCTGTCTGAAAGTACATACATATTAGAGAGATATTTTACATATATCATTGTAAAGCGACAGCATGGGGAAGCAAAATGTAAAGAAAATGACCTCATCCTTCACCTTCTCTCTAATTCCTCCCTGCTTTTACTTCTTTGGATTGGTGTACTTTGAAGGGACCCATCTGTAGCTATAGGGAAAGGAGACAGACACATACCTTCCCTCCTCAGCCTTGTGCAACTTCTCCAATGGGCTCAGCATGTCTGGGTACCACCTTCAATACCAACTGCAACCCTGGCAGCCACCAGTGAGGAGTGAGTTCACAGAGAGATGCTGGGAGGCGAACAAAGGCTGGAGGCCAGATGGGACCCAAGAGGAAACCAGCTGAAGAAGAATTTCTTTGCAAGGTTTTGTGGTAGCTAGCTCTGTTCTCCCACCTCCTATTGACAAAAAGATTGTAGACACACAAAGACAGCATTGATGGCCAAGCTGAGGATTTGCCTTAAGAGCGAATTTGTCTCTACCCATTCGCCCACTTACTCATTCCAAAACTATGCATATCTGTACTTGCATCTCATGGTAGATGGCATTAGTGACCCAGTTCCTCACCCTTCCTCTATGTGGGTTCTGTACCAGGGAACTTTGCCTTTTCTTCCAACTGGATGGAGTTCCCATCTCTGGATGCGACATGGCCGCACATGCTCCTCCTCTGATGAGTGGGGTATTAGTACAGCACAGGTAGGCTGTTTTGCTTCCTCCAGCCTTTCTGCTATCATCATGAAAAGGACAGGCTCCAGCTAGCCTTTAGTCCTAAGAAAAGCAGGAGAAACCTGTGGAGCACAACTTTCCCAGCTACATTGCCCAGTTGAAGTACAGGTGCATGAACCAGGACAGCAGATACCAGCCAAGCTCCATCCAGATCAGACCTAAGAAAAGCAAACATTGATGGTGGCCAGCTACTACCACTTTGCAGTTCCCCTGGTGCCGCAGTCTGACATGGTCATGGCCGATACAGACACCTCTAGTCTTCCAGGCACTGCTAGGATGCCAGGGAAGACAGGCAGTAGCCTAGAGACTTCTTTACAAGGCTCACTTTCCATTAGGGCTCATTACAGTTTACATAGATGCCTCACCCACTTAGTTCCTTCTGTGTCCAGTTTTGAGATGGGGAATCTGAGTGAAGGCTAGTCAGCATGCTAATGGCCATGGCTTCACAATAACTAGAGCTGGAACTCAAACCTGAGTCTTCTAATTCCAAGTGTTAGGCTTTTCCACCACTCCATAGGAACCTCCACCTGCTTTTGAAGTCAGCACCTCTGGCTGGAGTTGCAGATGGCCCTGAACTTGGTGGAAGGAATTTGAAAATTGACCCAAAGAGGTCAGCTCGGTGACCAAGAAGACAAGGAGAGACAACTGCTATTTTTACCCCCTGAAATGGTTCCCCTTTTGCAATTAAACCAATCTCTGTTTACAAGTATTTAGCATGGTTCTAGAAATTGCATTTTGAAATTATGCGAACAGAGAGAGAAGACAGCCCACACAGAGAGTGATTTCTCGTGGGTAATTGGCTGCTGGTTCTGGCTCCAATGATGCCTTCTTTTTAGAGCATAATTAGAGATTTCAAAGGAAACTGTTAGAGATGGCTGAAGTCTCCAAAGAAAGGCTTTTGTAGCTCCTCCTATCAGGGGCGCTTCTGAAATGCACGCTGACAAAACACCGCTGTTCTTTCCTAATGACCTTTCAAGAGACTTTCCAAAGTCCTGGTTTCCAAGACTCGGAAAGATTGATTCCAGGTCAGCAGAAGCTAAACTTCTCTCCTTGATGCTCAAGGTCACCTCATGATCAAGATGGCTGCTTCTGACTGAGCCCCTACATCCACATTTAAACATCAGGGAGGAGGAAGGGCTGCCTCCTCCCAGCTGAGTCTGTTATTTTTAGGGGAGATTTGTCCCAAGTTCCACCACACGGCTCTTTACTTGTGACCCATTGGTCAGAATGGAGACACCCGGACACATCTGGCCTTGAGAGAGACTGGGATCAGCGGAGCGGAAAATTAGGGTTCTCTTGCTAAGGAAGAAGACAAGAACGGAGGTTGAGGCAGAAAACTAACTTCAGTCACAAAAAGCAACAGTCAAGAATCCTGGCCTCAAGTGTTAGATGAGTGTGTGAGCGTACAGTTTGGCTGATTAGAAACCCACAGTAAAGCCAACGATGTCCGGTTAGCTGGTGCGCACCATGCTCAGACCTTGGGCAGAGAGGAGTGTTACCTACTGCCTCACTGTTAAAGATGCTACCCGTGATTTGGATGGAGACATGGAGAGTCCACTATCCTCTCTGCAGACAGCACAGACGGGGCATGTCCGCTACCGCTAATTTAAGAGCCCCAGGAAAACAGAGAGCCTGGGTAAAAACTAATAAGAGGAAAATACAACTGGAAGAATGATAAAGCTTGATCTTTGGTCTAAGAAAAAGAACTGCACTCTGGTCTTGTTTACATGAGATACCTAGAGTAGTTAAACCCACAGAGAATGAACGAGGATGCAGGTTGCCAGGGACTTGAGGGAGAAGGACTATTGTTTGGTAGTCCAGTTGGCTTCATAATGGCCTGGTGTTAATGGTGTGGTCCCAATGTGGTGTTAACTGGAAGGTGATGAAATCTTGAAAAAGTGGGGCCTGGTGAGAGGATGTAAAGTCTCTGGGTGTACACCCTTGAAGATGAGGGATAATAGGACCCAATCCTTTCTACATCTCTGTCTATGCCCCTCCCCCCTCCCAGCTTCCATGGGGTAAACTGTTTCCTTTCATGCATACTTCCTACCATGTGTTACTTCACTACAGATCCAAAGCAACAAGACCAAGAACGACAGGCTATAAATACGAGCCCAAGTAAACCTTTCTTCCTTATAAATTGATTATTTCAGTCACTTTGTCACAGGGACAGAAAGCTGAAAAGCATACATCGGTACTTGGCTTGCATTTTGCCAAGGATAGAGCTCTGGAAATAGCTGCACGGTTGTGCTGGCATTAGTTACACAGGGGCATGGATGTGCTTAACACCACTAAACGGCCCACGTAAAGTGGATCTGACAGTCAATGTCATCTTACGTGTATCCTTTGATAGAAATGGAAATCAAATAGCTGTATAAATGTAGGTGGAGAGCAGCATTGCTTAGCTCCAGATTTAACCACTGTGTGTTAAGAGGAAGACGCAGCTACCAAAACGTGTGTTTGGATCTGGCCCTCGACAGGAGGGAAAGTGAAAGCTAATGTTTGCAGTTCTTTCGTACCCTTTGATGGGCCCCTAACCAGGGTCCCGGCATGTAAGTGGTGCCATCCCCAGAACACACACAGCTAGCAATGACATGTCTCCAGTCTTTCCTCAGCCTGCAGGTGTCCACTTCAGAGGCAGGGCCATCAGTGCTAGGAGCTGGAGTAACTTCCAAGTCCCACGTGCCCCCAGCCAGCTTGTCCTGAAGCACCAGTTGTGTGGAGCAGCTCCTGGGAGAGCACCTTCTAACTGGCTTGAGGCACATTGTCCTGGCAAGGGGGACACGCTAGCCAGGTAGTGTCAACAGCAATTGTTTTTGTTTTTTATTAAGCAATTAGCTGTCTCTGTCACTTAGCGGAGATCTCGGCCCATAGGAAGTGAAACGTGTTGAGAAGATGAAAGGAGAGTGATAGGGCAGAAATGCCATGCAGGGTGGCCAAGGCTGAGAGAGGACCAGGAACTGGGGACAGTGGGGTACAGCAGACAGGAGACCCTGGAAGCCACATCACCTCAACAATGTCCTTCAGGACAATGGAGAAATTGTCCCATGCCAACACATGGCCCCCAAAGAATTTCCCAACTGGTTAGTCCCAACTGGTTAGTTCAGTGTTTCTCCTCTCACTGTTTGAGTTAGAATCAGCTGAGAGCTCTTAGCAATGCCAACGCCTGGTCTCCACCCCAGGTCAGTTCAATGAGAACACCCTGGAAGAGACCTGGCATACTGTTGAATCCATGCACGTGATTCTCTGGTGCAGCGGGCTTGGGTGGCCTCAGAGACCCTTGGGAAGGGCTGGTGGAGACTTGGGCCCATTAGAGATTTCTCTCAGGGATGGTGCTCAGTGACTTCATCCCTCACAGAATATGCCTCCCCCCTGCTCCGTTTCTCCTTTAGGGGCAAAAGCACTTCCTTTTCTAAGACTGAGAATCCCAGGAGAGTGAAGGGTCACAGATGCTGGAGCCAGCCGGGCCAACCTCTCCACTCTTCCCAGGACACCGACTGACATCTTTGCTTCAGGTCCACTCAGAGCACCCCTGCCCTACTTTTCTTTCTTCCCTGTTGCTGAGGAGACCCCTGCCTTCTCCAGCTCTTTTCTCTCAGCTGAGGTGCAATGCCCACTGTCCGGAATTGTTCACCGATGCCAATCCAGTGAGCTTTTCTCTGCTTTTCTTACTTGCCTGTGCATGCAACACACTTGAAGCCTTTGGCCTTGTTGTGGCCAACGGCAGTTTCTACAACTGTGTCTGATGGGCTACACACAGCAAACAGTGAAGGAAGCTGCCTCAGCATAGGACCAGGTCTTAGCCCTCAGTGCTCATCACTCAGAGGCCCACGTGCTAAAAGCTTGCTTCTCAGTCTGTGGCACTTCCTGGGAGGTGCCGGCACTTCAAGGAAGTAGGGCCTCAGTGGGAGGAAGTTAGGTCACAAACAGTAGTGACCTCGATTGGAAATAGTTTACTTTTTAGCTGTTCTCAAGGACACAATGTTTTTTAATGCCCTCAGCTGTTTTTTGTTCCCCTTCCTCTCTGTTATGGGGCCAGAGATCAACCTGCCCCAAGACAAGGAGTCTTGAAGAACACATGAGATAAACATATTCAAGTCTAAGACAAGGTAGGGCCCTCCTGGAACCCAGGGTCTTCCTTCAACCATTGAAAACAGCACATGACAATTCACCACTATAGTATACATCACAGGGGGACACGCCATTGAAGGGGATGTTGGGACTGCAGTCTCTTCTGTCTTCCCACCTGCTTCCCAGCTACCATGAGGCAAAGAGGCTTTGGCCTCATCCCTGCCATGATGTAGTACTGAGTCTCGCAACTGTAACACAACACAGCCAAGTAGCCATTGATGGAAGGCTCTGAATCCATGAGCTGTGGAAAATACTTTTCCCTTTATGTTAATTTTCCCAGGGACTTTTTTCACAGTAGCAGGAAGTAAGCTAACATGCTGGGGAATCTATAGTATTATTAAAACACTGCTTATTTGAGTCAGGTTTGCCCACTGGCTCTACAGTCTGGTAGAAAACGTTAAGGAGGAATCTTTCTTAGGTTACTATAATTTTGTATAATTCCCTATGTTTTGGGGAGGTCGAGGGGAAGGCTTAAGTTTGTTACTTATTTTCCCTCCAGAAAGAAAGGTGAGGAAATTAATTCTCATTTTATACCCCTGGTAAGGAGTAGTTTTTCCACCCAAAGACTGAAATCCCCTTCCACCTTCACAGCATGGGAAAGCTGATTGCAGCAGAGAAGAAAAAGAATGGACAGGGAGCCAGGAGTGGGGGAGAAAGTGGTTAATAGAAAATGTAAGTTGAGCATAGCATTTCCTGCAAATAAAACAAGAGGTCTGCTTGGATCTCTGTGAGAAGATAATGGTACAGGACACCCAGCAAAGGCCTCAGTGAAGGAGACTCAAGAGAGAAGCCGAGCAGGCACCATTTCTTTGATCTACTATGTTTTCATTTGTTCCCCGAGGAGGAGATATTTTAAGTTGATATTAAACTTCCTAGATTTGATGTGCCTAGAGCTAAGTATGAGTAAACATTGGAAATATATATGTGTGTATACATATATATGTATATATGTGTATATATGTATATATATATATATATATATATATATATATATATATATATATATATAAAACCTGTGTGCTGTAGGATGGTCTGTATGTGCTCTGATTGGTCAATAAATAAAACACTGATTGGCCAGTGGCCAGGCAGGAAGTATAGGTGGGACTAACAGAGAGGAGAATTGAGAGAACAGGAAGGAGGGGGAGGCACTGCCAGCCGCCGCCATGACAAGCAGCATGTGAAGATGCTGGTAAGCCACGAGCCACGTGGCAAGGTATAGATTTATAGAAATAGGTTAATTTAAGTTATAAGAACAGTTAGCAAGAAGCCTGCCACAGCCATACAGTTTGTAAGCAATATAAGTCTCTGTGTTTACTTGGTTGGGTCTGAGCAGCTGTGGGACTGGCGGGTGACAGAGATTTGTCCTGACTGTGGGCCAGGCAGGAAAACTCTAGCTACACATGTGTATGTGTACATATTTCTATAATGCTCATGTTCTAGAATGTGGGCTCAGTGATTATCTTACTTGTGTTTGGGTTAAAAGAGAAACAAAACAAAACAACAACAACAACAACAACTCAGGACAAAACCAAAATTTTCAAGCACTGATATAATCGAACGTCTAGATTAAGGTGTCCACCCCTATTATGGTTCCAAATGCTTTGAGCATTTCCTCTGAGAGTCCATGCTCTGAAGATTCATGCCCTCTGTGAGGTGTTAGAGGGTGGACCCCCTCCCATGTTGTTTAGAGGTGAAGACTTTGGGAGACAGTTAGGTTTAGGTAAGGTCCTCATAGAGATCCCATGATTGATTATTCCTGGTGGCTTTATATGAAAAGTCAGAAACTTTATAGTGTATTAATGCATGCATGCCTTCCCTGTCTTTCTCTGTGTGATGTACTGCCTTGGGACTCAGTCAGCAATGTCCACTACCAGATACAAACCCTCAGACTCCAGCCTCAGTACCATGAGCCAGAACAAACCCCTTTTCTCTACAGAATTATCTGGCTTCTGGTGGTTCATTATAGTAATGTCAAAACAGACTAATACAGTCTCGCTGTCAAGGTTTAGTGCACAGGAAGGAAGCACTGAGTCAAGCCATCTCCACAACAGGGCTTACTCATGTGTGGCTTGCTGTGTGCTAGATTCTTACCTCTTGTGATTTAAATGAAATGTCCTCTTCTTCTTTCTTGTTTGCCTTGTGTTTCTGTCAACAGACCATCTCAAGCTGAAAGTTCCCTGAGGGCGGGCATGTTCCTGAGGTAAAGTGCATGGTTAGCAGGTGTGAGGCTGGGAATCCGGGTGTAGGGTCCATTTGAAAACAGCTCTCTTCACAAACCGCTGCTCTTGCCTGCAGTTCAAGCAGCCTGTCTCCCCTTCACTGGATATCCTCTGTGAGAGGACTTTCTCTCCTCCTTGCCTGAAATATTTTTAGGAGAATTAGGAGATTAAACGAATAGCATCTGATTGAGAGAAATGAAGCCTGCTGCTAAAACTGGACTGACCTACATTTTGTGGGGCCTGGGTGGTTTACTCTCCATATTCCTTTAAGAGTTGACTCTCGGTTCATTATTTCTCCAGAAGGATTATGATAAAGATTAGTTGTGTTTGGAGGCACAAACAGTCAAGCCAATATTTGGTATCTGTGTATAAGATAGGGAGGTACAGGAGGCCGCTGAGACCCACATCAGATGGTATTTGAATTATCCTTGGAGGTGTTTGGATGATATTACCCAATTCAAGTGCTGAATGTGCTAGTCTTTACACCCTGGGCTGACCCTTTTGTAGTCAAAACCTTATAGAAAGCAATCAGAAGCATTTAAGGCTGAGATTTCTGAAGCTGAGAGCAGCCCCTGTGTGCTTCTTGGATTGTTGATTAGATTTATCTGGAAACACTTTCTGATCTGGGGGGGGGGGGGCGGATCTGCAGAGGAGGTTTGCATCTGTTTTCAAGTTCCTGGCCCTGCAAGGACTTGAGGCCTTGGTAATGGCTTTCCCGTTGTCCTAGGCACTCACAGAGAACCAACACTCTGGAGAGATCCTCCAGTCTTTCTCCAGATGAAGACATACTGGTTTCCCCAGGAGTGGCCTTGAGTTTCCAAATTCCTCACCTCTGCCCTCTAGAGTGCCGGTAAAAATCCTGCTGCTAAGTCATGTCCTTCTCCTGTGGTTACTTCTGGGGGTAGACAGATGCCAATCTCTGCCTGGTGGTCCTCAGTATTTCTCCTCTCAGTCCCTCCCACCCCACTCCAGTCCAGGGGCCAGTGTGCAGAAGCCCTGGCTACCATCTCCCTGGGGAAAGGGCAGGTGACTAGAGGGAGGGGAAGAGTACAGGGTTGCAGCTGTCCCCCGGGAGGGTACAGGGACACTGGATCCGAGTTTCAGTGAGACCTGCCAGTTCCAGTGAGACATAGCATTTAGGTCCATGAGGAGTCACAGACTTCCAGAGAGAGCAGGAAGGTTGACAGGAAGAGTCTCAGGTACCTGGACATCAGCCCTGGAATACTGAGTTTCCTGGGTGAAGTTTTGTGGGGAGAGCAGTCAGAATGATACGTCTCCTGGCATGAGCTTGATTTAGCTGAATTAGACAGTCGGTACTGCAGTAGAGAAAGCTGTTAGTCCTAGGAAGGATCAGCAAGAGGCCGTGACTGAGTCCAGGCGGCCTGAGATGGTGATTACAATGACATGTGGGATCCATAGCTTTGATCAGACTCTCAGCACACAGAAGTTACGATCAATTAACCAATGGCTTCAGCTCACAGTGGTTCTACCCCACCATCAGCCACCAGGAAACTTCCAAGAAGCCATGACAGGGGTTCATGGGGATAATACATACAATGCTAGGAATATTGGCTAATCCAGCCTGCTCTCTCAACAGTGCACCCCAATAGGAAGATCTTCCAAAGCAAGGTGGGGAACCAGAGACTGCAAAAGAAAGCATCAATAGATCTTATCAAACAAAACACAGACCCTTACAGAGAAGAGAAACCGCAGACAAAATGGAAAGCAAATGATAAACTAATAAAGCCATTCATAATCTATATAGCAAGCAGTTAATATTTTAAATGTATGAAGGAAAGAGATTAAAAATTAAGGAAAGACCCAAAGGATTAATAAACAGATGAGGATGTTCAAATGCCAACAACATTTAAGGACTACATATATCCCTCATCAAATGAGAACAGAGCCTCATTTTCCCACCAGTTATATTGAGAAAATGGAGATCAATAATGCCTAATGTCTAGTCATAAACTGCTGTGGAATTATAAACTGATGTAATCTTTTTGGAGAGCAATTGAATAGTTGCTAATTAAATTCAAAACGCATATGATTTTTGATCCAGAAATTTTACTTCTAAGAATTTATGCCCCAGAAAAGTCACACAAATGTGTCCAATGTTTACTGACTCAATAGAATAGTAAAAGTCTAAGAGCAATACAAACATTAATTAATAGTAGAATGATTGCTCATTCATTCTGGTTGTGGCACATTCTGTAATACTATATTGCTATTCAAAAAGAGTGATGTTACAGTTTTGTGCTGATATGTAACAAGGACCATAATATGTCATTAAGCATACAAAAGGCATTTATACCATAGTCAGCAATCCTATTTTGATCTATACTATAAACTACAAAATAGTCTGGGTATATACATAAGCATCCATAGATGTCCACTTCCTATCAGGACAGCCAAAGTTCTGGAAAGCTGCATCTACTAATAGCAGTTTCACCTATGATTCTGGATCATCACTTTTCAAAATCAGTTTTCACTATCTCATTGAAAATGTCAGTTTTTATATGCTATTTTGGAATTTGAAAACAGAAAATAACTTTCTTTCTGAGTCTGTTTCAGTCTAGCTGTAATATAAAATTTATACCTGTTATTATACGTGGTCCCGTGACCCAGTTTGATGCACAGATGAACTGCTGGTCAATTCTCCCTTTTGAGCAGAAAATTAAGCCTACACACACAACCACCTCCCTCAGTTTGCTCTCCGACTCCAGAGCTTCGGCACACTCACACTAACTCCCCCAGAACCAAGTACAAGCCCCAGGGTCTGCTGAAATCACTCTAGCTAGGCCCTCCTAACCCTGCCTACCTGAGATTCCTTTCCTGGCAACCACAATTAAAGACACTTGCCCACAGCTGGTTCCTCTTTATGTTTTGGGACAGCCTCAGCCTCCTCCTGTTTGGTCCTGAGTGGTTTGCTATGCTCTTCCCAAGGGACTGTGGCTATAAGGAACTGTAAACCACTTCCCCAGTTCTGCGTCCCTGTCAATCTGCATCCAGCCTGCCCATGCCCCCTGCAAGGTAACATGATGGGAACACTAGTGAAGCATGCTGCACACTGCTTTCACACTGCATCATCCCACGGAGAGGGCCCTTGTTGGAGCAGTCTCACTGGGAACTGCCCCACCCTACCTGTCCTTGTCTGCCCTGGCTTCTGTATGGTTGACCTTTGCATGGATTCCCACTCCCTTCCCCGAGCGCCTGCACCTGGAGCATCTCTGGCCTCTCTTCTGGGCTTACAGTTTTGACTCGCCCCATCCGGCCCGTCATCTCAGTGGAGTGGTCCTTGGCTAAGGACCTGCTGCCTGGCCCCCGCACTCATCAAACAACAAAACTCCGCTTTAGGGGTGGTGATCTATCAAGCGTGACCGTATAGCGTGGAGGCCAAGCCAAAATCTGAGAGTGTCGTTTCTGGAGTGGGCCGAGGGTCGGGATCAGAAGCCAGGCAGATTGGAAAGCGGCAAGCTCTTCTGAAACCCACGCTGTGAGCCAGAATGTGAGTGTGAATGGGCGACGGAGGCAGAGATGCAGGCAGTTAGGAGCCAGATGGGCTTGCTAGAAGGCAGAGCAAGGCAGAGATCAAAAGGGTGAGCGGAAGGTCAAGAGTGCAGTGGTCAAAAGAAATGGTGTTGATAGTGAAGGGCGGAGAGAGCTGCCCAGATGCTGACTGTGAATCCTGCCTCTACCCCTTACTAGCCACACAGTAAATCTGCCTGCACTTCATGCATCCTACAAAGAGGATGTAGATGCTGCTCAATCCTGGTGGGTTATGCGATGACCTCCACGCACATGATCAATCTGTATAACTTCTCTCTAGTTAAACTTTTTCAGCTAATTTAAGTATCGTGGCATGGTTCAGGGCATGAAAGGCTTGCCCCTACAGAAGCCTCAAGCACGCACTCCTGGTACAGCCCAATTTCTTCATCTGCAAAACTAGATACAATGATGCCCACCATGCCAGCCTCCTGAGTGTTCACTAGACTCCAGGTTCGCATATGCTCTGATAACCAGATGTGATGACCTGGGCAGCCACACACCTGATATCCAGGCCGGAGGGTAGCAAATTAGAAGATACCTGGAACCATAGGCAGAAGCCTCTTATTTATGAACCTGTGTTCTGACCTTCCTAAGTCCGTTTGAGTAGAGGAGCTAGGGACAGGATGGCTGTGATGGTTGAATGGCCACAGATGGGTAATACAGAGGAGTAGTTCTGATCCGATTCTGTGCCTTTCGTCTCTCCTCTCGTAGCAATCTTGGCTTCCACAGACCCTTGAATTCTATGCCATCTGTAATGGTCAATTTTGACAGTCCACATGGATTGAGAAACACCTGGGGGATTTAGTGAAACACAAGTCTGGGGGAGGGGGTCTGTGAGGCATCTCCAGATACAGTTAGACCCCCGTGCCTCTGACCTCTTGCCCAGATGAAGACTTTGATGGATTTGGGATATGACAGCGTTGCTGGGAGGTGATGAAAGGCAGCAGATCGGTGACCTGGTGACCTGCTTCTGAAGGCATGCCATTGGGAGTGCTCTTGCCCAGGTTTCCTCTTGCATGCTTTTCTCCACTTTCCGGTCACGGTGTGAACTGCTGTGTTTTGCCATCTCTGTCATGATGGACTTGCACCTCTGATACGGCAAGATAAATAACAGCATTCTTTCCTTTAAGTCGTTCTCAGGTATTTTGGCCACACAAAAGTAAGCCATTTAACAGTCCGTCTGCCCTTTATCTACCTAATTACCAAATCTCCTCTTGTCCCTGCCTGGGGTTGAGCTATTAAAGAGCAGGAAGAGCTGTTTCCAAAATCTCAACCAGGACACGAACCCCCAAAGCCACCTCCGTTCCATCCCCTGTCGTTTACCAATTCTTCAGAAACCTCAGACAATTTCTGTTATTGGCGGACGTGGTGTTCCCTTATAGCACACCACTTTCCCACAACTGGAATTTGTAGACAAGAAAAATGCAGCTGCTGCTCAGCGCAGACTGGGCTTTTTTGTGGCTTCTAGGCAGGAGACTGCTGTAAAATGCCACACACCTTCTTATCAATGCTTGCTTGCTGGGACCTCAATTCATTTTATGCATTCTGTGTATCTCGGAATTTTCCATGATGTTGCTTGCTATCAGAATTATGCAAAAAGCCATTCTTTTCCTCAAGCAGAAAATCATGGGCACTCCAGAACTCTTTTGACTCCCAGAAAGCCACGGGGCGGGTTTTCCATGAAGGACAGGAAGAATAAATTGACATCAACTATGTTAACCATCCCTCCCTGGAAGGGTAGGAGCTCCTTGACCAAACCCAAATGTGACAGCCAATCTGAGGCAGCAAGTGTTTAAATACCCAGGATGCACTTCAGTTTCTAATGCCTGGTGACTCTAGTATGCAGCGGTCGAGAGAGCTGCAGTGGTTAGCTACTTTTTTCCCCAGTCAAGATAATTAAGCCAATATAATGTTCTTGAAAAGACAAGGAAGGCAGCCTAGGAGAACAGAACCTTGTGTTTGTCAGCACCTGGCTCCAGGGGCAACTGAAGCTATGTGAGTACTCGGGATCAGGCAGAAGGACAGAATTAGAAACTTTTCCCACTGGTGGAGGAAGAGCAAAGGCCGTGTCTTTCAACCTAGTCCGTTTTGATTATCTAGCTACTTGGGGAGAGTCTGAGAGGTTCCCAGGGCTCTCAGCTGCTTTCAAGCCCCCTGTACCTTATCCATGGATGCCCAGAGTGATTCAGCTCCTAATTTCTCAGGCCTCAGCGATAGCTCCACATTCATTCTGTAGGTAAGTGATTCTGTCCATCTCTTCTCTGTAAGTGGGGAGGGTATAAGAAAGGGGGGAAGGAGGGATAAGGAAGGAGCAGGGAGGGAGAGAAGGGGGAGGAGGGAGAAGAGAAACACTCAAGAGGGACCCTCCGAAATGACCACACAGCTTGACAGTGTCTGCAGGGAAAGATTCCCCATCCTCTGCTTGTTGATGTTTTTGTCCCCAAACTAGTTTTGGTAGTCGGCAGGCAGGCAGCTTCTGCCCATGGGTCTTGGGTAGTTATTCCTCTCCCGATCATGTCTCGTACAGTTCTGCTGTAGACCTGCAGTGTGTGGCTTTTTGTCTCTCATTCAAAGAAATCACTTGGAGCCTAGCCTCGTTGCTTATCTGGCTTTGGTAAGTTAACCACAGCATCCTTACCTGGGATGCTTCTGTCACTCTGTTTCAGCTGTCTCTGTTCAAGTTCCACCCCAGGGTATATGGGTGAAAACGACCTTCAGTGAAAAGCTCACACCCTTCTCTTGTACCTCTTCTGACAGGCTACTGAACGAGCTTTGTGGAATTTTGTCCGTAGAATGATCATAAACAAGACTCAAGATTCTTATCATGGAACTCAGGGCCAGGCTATTGTCCCTGTTTCCTAGTCTCTCCTCACCCTTTGGAATCCACGACTTAAGACATTGGAATACTTCCTTCCCTTTCTAGATCAGTACCCCCAAGAAATGCCATCCCAGACCTTCAGTTGTCCATTTTTCAGGAGCCTTCAGCAGCGGACTGTCTCCCTGTCTATCGCCTCCCTTGAACATCAACATTAGGTCCACAGCACAAGTGTTGTTGGCCTCCTCCCCATTCTCCTCGAAGATGCAGATTCTAACTGTGCAAAGGGTATAAAAAGAAAACAAACATTCTGTCTCCTCCATCTCCCTACCCCACTCCTAAAGCGAAGAACTGTATTCATATGACCACTCCAATGCACACAACATGCTTAATTCTCTATTTCTAGATTCATCCATTTCCTGCTATTGCTCCCAGTCTGGGCCAACCCTTAAGTCACAAAGAATTTGGAAAAGTTGGAGATTTTGCTATTTTACTTATAGGTAATTTTTATTTCCCAGAGTCCTTTCTCGTGTGTAAGGGCCACCTCTTAAGTGTGCTATTTCTTCTGAACTGGCGGAAGTTTGAGTGTGGGGTTCACATGGGAACTGGGCTTGCTAAGGGCTGGCAAGGGCAGAGAAGTGACCCAAAGAGTCTTGTTACTGATGACTGCTTAGGAAATATGCTAAAGGACAAGAAGGGACAGAGATCCCAGTGAAGCCAGCCTTCCTCAGGAAATGTACTTTCTTCCGCTATCTCATGTGCAGAGGGCACTGGGTTGGCTGAAACCAAAGAGCCAAGGGCTGTGGGTAAACATCAGGTCAAACTTCCCGTTCACAGTCTCTGTCCAATCCCTGATGTTTGTACGCAGTAGACCACTTTGAATCCTGGCCACCCTTCCCCGCTTGATTGCCTGCCAGCCGAGGGCAGTGCTGGGTCACAGGTACCACACCACAAATGAAGGATTCCGTGAAATGAGACAAAGTCCAGCTGACCGATGAGAGGACACGTGTCTGGTCCATCTCCCCACTCCCCTTGCATCTGCCCATGGACTGCTTCTATTTGTTACCCTCTTCCTGCCCCTGGTCCCTCTTTCCCTTCCGCATATGTGCGACACCCTGGCACAGGACACTTCCTTACTTTGTGTTTCCTACCTACCTCCAGGCCTCAACTCGAAGATGCTCAAGTTCTTCATGTAGACCTAGAGAGTCAAAAGCAATGGTCACTGCACAGGGAAAGATACTTGAGTTTAAAAATGCTCAGTGGCCCCGGGTAGAGGCCACGGTTTTGGACAGTGGAGATATAAAAGGGTTTGTCCAGGCTAGTTTCATGTGATTGACACAAGCTAGTATCATTTGGGAAGAGGGGCTCTCAATTAAGAAAATGCCTCCATAAGGTCAGGCTATAGTCAAGTTTATAGGGTATTTTCTTAATTAGCAAGTGACATGGGAGGGCCCCGCCCATTGCAGACAGTGCCACCCTGAAACTGGTGGATGTGCCGTGTATAAGAAAGCAGTCTGAGTAAGCCATGAGGAGCAAGCCAGTGAGCAGCACTCTCCCATGGACTCTGCACCTGACTAGAGTTGCAGCCCCACTTCCCTTGGAGAAGGACTGACGGAAGTAGAAAGCCTTGCCTACCCAAGCTGCTTTTGGTCATAGTGTTTCATCACAGCCATCGAAACCATAACTGAGTCAAGGATCCATCCTCACAGGAAATTCTGTTCTAGACTTTCATCCTGACCATGTTCTGGGTCTAGACTCTACTCCTTCCCAAAGGCAAATTCTCATTCTACTCCACCACACAGACAATATTCTCATAATTTCTTTTTGCCGAAACCTACTGTCTAGATGGGTCTGTGTCCATCTCTATATAAAGAAAACCCATTTAATAGTTTTTCTCATACCATGGGACTAGCTCGCCAAAACTGTGTCCTTCTGCCAAAATACTGATGCATAGGAATCATTTGGTTTTGGTGAGCCGTTCAGAAGGTTTTGCATACTAACAGTTGTAGTGAGAATTGGCTGATAAGGACCAGATTCTTGGGTCAAGCACAAGGGATCACATCTAAAGATTTGCAGGTTGAGAAACAGAGATGACCAGAGTTCAGCAAGTACAGCTTCTGGGTTTGAGCAGACCAGCCTACACATCTATGGGGGATGGTGACACATCTGTGTGATGCCAGCACGTTAGCCGAGAGATTGCCCCAGGAACGGAATGTGGGACATTGGAGGACGGGCATCGTCAAAGTTCAAATAAGCGCATCCCAGAAAAAGTTGACTCTACAATGAAATTATTGCAAATAAACCCCATTTCTTTTTTGCTTTCCATTAACAGTGAGTTAAAGCAAAAAAAAAAAAAAGTATGTACATGTGTGTTTTAACTAGAAAACAAGCTCAAGAACTTTTTTTTATTAAGCAATGCCCATGTTGAAAACAATACATTGTTCTAACTCAGAATGAAAGCAGTGATAGGCAGCTAGAAGGTGATCAATAAGTATTTCCTGATTAATTGAAAATAAATCACAAAATAAAAATACAAATTAGAGATGCGTGCCTCTGCTGACCATTCTCTCCTCCAGACTAATGAGTTGTTTCTTTCCCTGGCGCCGGCTTCTTCTTAGGAGTAGTTAGCATAGAATGGTGCTTGTTGAGTCTGGGCAGGTGCAAATCAATGTTACAGATTGTATCACCAAGTGGTGACAGCTACTGAGACAAGAGAAAAGATACCAAGCTTGCCTCATCTTTCATGGGTTGTGGATGAACGCATCTGTCCCTTAAGTGAGGATCTGTGCTCAGTGCAAAGGGGAGGAGAGCAGCCCCATGCTTGCTTCAGTCAGGGCAAGTCACGGGTCTTGAAAGAGGTATTTATTGATAAGGGATTTCAAAACAAGGCACCTAGACTGGATGCAGATGGTACAGAAGGAACCTATTGACAGTAATCACTTCTGTAACGGACATCCCTTGCTTTCCTTCCAAGTATCCAATTCTCCTGAGGAAAGTTGCCCACAGATCTCTCTGAGCAAAAGGGGATGCACAGTCACCATAGCAAAGACACCCCACAGTGCAGTCTGAACGAAACAGAAGGCAGTCCAGAGCCAACCGATAGGCTCTGTTTCATATAGTCACATGGGGATCTGGGCAAGCACGCTGCACTGCCTTCCTCCACATGTGGCTTCTCCATTTGCCCCAGCTTTGCCATTTCTACCCAGCCAGGGGAAAGGGACATGGAAGAGGGTTTACTTTGTGACTTTAGACTCAGACCAGCAAATGGATGTGTATCACTTGGACTCCTATCCAGCTGGCAAGAACTTCCTTTTATGGTTATACTTGGCTACAAAGGAGGCTGGAACTTGGAGTTTATAGCTGGTCCCATGTATAGAAGCCATACTCAAATCAGGGAGTAGAAGAATAAACTAGTAAACAGGCTGTCTCAGAATTTGGGTCTTGAGCAGAATGACAAAAGACTGAAGAGAACTAAAGCTGAAACGTTCCAGTGGTGGCATCCTGAAGAGGTCCTCCACTGACTTCTGTCATCTGGACCCCTGGAGCTACCCTAATTCCCGCCTAACTTGGGGTGATATTTTATTTGTGCACCCCAATAAAACTTATTTGGAGATCAGAGGACAGAGAACGACACTAAATTAAATGTAGAGGCAGTGGTAGCACACGCCTTTAATCCTAGCATTCGGGAGGCAGACATTCATCCAGATCTCTGAGTTCAAGGCCACACTTTTCTGACTGAAAGTAGTACCTTTTTAGCCTAGGCTAGCCAAAATTTCTGTTTGCTGCTTGTTCTAGTCCATAACTGGTTTGGCTATTTAGTTCTGATACAGGGGTTAAGAAGCTTTGAGGCCACTGGGGAAAGACCACTCCCTCGTGGTCAGCTTTGGGTGGAGATATCAGGGCTTTGTTGAGTTAATCTAGGTGGGCCTGTCAATCACTGTCCAGGAAACCACCTCACAGGAAATACAATTTATGGAAAGACACACTAAGGAGATGGGAGGAATAATTATCCCCTTAATGAGATAATGTGCTTATTCTCTTAAGAAATGGCTCTCCTTTATTTGGGTCTACCCCAGTAAGCCTAACTTGTGGTGTTATTTTATTTGTGCACCCCAATAAAACTTATTTGGAGATCAGAGGACAGAGAACGACACTAAATTGAATATAGAGGCAGTGGTAGCACACGCCTTTAATCCTAGCATTCGGGAGGCAGACATTCATCCAGATCTCTGTGAGTTCAAGGCCATACTGGGAACAGAGCCAGGCTTGGTGGCGCATGCCTTTAATCCCAGTGCTAGTTAACCATAGAGGTCTGGAGGTCACAGGAAGTGATAGAGCTGACCGGAAGGAGCAAGTGATGTAGCTGGGTGGAGAGAGGAAGTGAGATGGCAGAGCACAGAAAGGTATATAGGTGTGTGTATACAGGAAGTAGCTCTCCCTTGGGCTGAGGATTTCCTAGAAGTAAGAACTTGTGCCTTGACTTGTTCTATCACTCAGATCTCTCAGTTTTCACCCCAATATCTGGCTCCAGGTTTTTTTTTTCTATTAATAAGACTATTTAGCAATTTGTGTCATACTAACTTTTCCTTCTTCTTCCTAAGCATACTTGTACAGATGCTCTGGGCACTCACTCCTTCTCTGAGACCCTTACCCCATCCCTCCTGCCCTTGCATTTCTACCAGGCAGCTGCTGTTGAGCCTCCATAGCCAAACAGGCATGCTTTCTTTGGCCTGTACTGGCCAGTTTTATGCCAACTTGACACAGGCTAGAGACATCTGAGAGATGAAAAAAACCTCAACTGAGAAAACGTTTCCACAATATCAAGCTGTAGGTAAGCCCGTGGGGCATTTTTCTTAATTATAAATTGCTGTGTGGGAGAGCCTACCTAGCCTATTGTGAGCAGAGCCTGGGGTGGCTCTTATACAGCCACTAGACTGGTGGTCCTGGGTTCTATAAGAAAGCAAGCTGAGCAAGCCATGGAGAGA